TTTATATTATTTTATTGAATTTATTGTAGTAAAATTTTTTCTAATAGTGTTTAATTGTATTAGTATGCATATATTAATGCTTTATTAAATATTATTCTAGGGTGACGATTTATCTTCTAAAGATAAATCTGTTTGGGATTTAGCTCCAACTAATAATAAAAATAAAATATTGCAAGAACAAAAACTTGAACAGGAAACAAAAAGTGGTAAAAGTGGTCAAAAAAATGATGACGACAAATTACCAGGTATTTACAATTAAATTTAATTATAGGTTTTATATTTGAACTTTTTTTAAAATTAATATCAAGAAACAGGAGCGCAGAAGTTATTCTTGAAATTAATTGACAAAAGTTTCAAATTTACTAACAAAACTGGCGATGAACTTGTTTTCTATTTAGCTACAYAATTTAATGAATATTCTTATTCAATTTTAAATTGCCATATAAATTTAAGTATAGGATAGGTATGGGCTTGTATCAAATCCAGAACATTTAGATTATTATTTATGATTTGGTTATATCTCGCGTTTATTGACATCAATTTTGGATGGGGGTGTGGAAACGATTAAGGTGCTCCTGTTACTTGGAGAAAGTAGAAACCTACAAAATAGAAACAACTAATTAAGTAAAATATTTCTAGAACCAAAATCATCTTTTGAAAACAATTCTGGTACTTCTTCATTATCTCATCAAAAAGGGATGAGATCTGATCGCTATGTTGGACCACGTTCATCATATCATCAGAGTATCAATTCTCGAACAGTTTCCAGGTCTGGATCAAATAGAAAAAATGCTTGGCCGGAGTCTTATGAAGAAAGTCAACGGTCCAGAGGTCCTCGACGTGAAGACAGAAATCGAGGTGATGACAGAAATCGTGGCGACGACAGAAATCGAGGCGACGACAGAAATCGAGGCGACGACAGAAATCGAGGCGACGACAGAAATCGAGGCGATGACAGGAACCGAGGTGAAAACAGAAATAGAAATGATGACAGAAATCGTGGGGATGATAGAAATAGAAATGATGATCGAAACAGGGGAAGTATAAGACAAAATGATCGTTATTCCGAAAAATCGACATTACGTGGATATGGTCAAAGATCTGAACAGAGAGGACGAGTACGTTTAGATTCATGTACATTGAATGGACGTAGTGGTCAAAAAAATAGTATCGATGAAAGTGTTGAAAAAAACAAATTGAATTCAAACTCGGGTTCTATAAGAAGTAAAAATTCATCATCTAAGCCACAATCTAAAATGGATACATTTTCAACTTCTGGAGATACTAACCGTCGAGGTGGTGAAAGTCGATTTGGTTCTAGACAAAGTAATCGACCTCTCAATAGCCAAAAACAAGATGACCATTGGGATTCAGTTAGCGAACCTAGCGATTATGAAGCTCAACAAAAAAGTAGTAATCGGCGACTAAGTACTCGTACATATTTAGCATCATCAAGGTAATTTAATATAGTTTTTATAAATAGTTTTTCAATTAAATATTTAATCATATTTTATTGAAGAGGTGACAAAAGATCCACTTATGATAAAAAAGATCAGCCTAAAGAACTTGGAAATACTGAAAAATCCAATCAAAAGTTAACGTCAACTACTTCTGTTAATGACCCTAAAAGTAGTTATAGTGGTAAATTTAATATTATATTCAATCAAAATGAAATAATAGTAAAATATTTATATTTTAATACATTTATCATTATAGGAAGTACTTCTCAGGATGGAAGATCAATTAAAAAAGATGATCAAAAAAAGTTGAATGATTCTCAACAGAAAATTCAACGTATAACTAATCAGAGTAATCGTAAAGATTCTTCTAAACCTACATCTAGAGCTAATCAAAGTAATAACGCAACTAAACCTGGCCAAACAAATCAGAGGTATGAACGTCAAAAAAGCCAGCCACAAATTGGTCAAGATGACTCAAATGTTCCCATTATTAAAGGTTTGATCAAATACGTATTATAACTTAAGTTTATTTAAACTAAAATATAATGTGAATTAAATGGATTTTATTTTTATTTTAGATACTGTAGTTATGGTTAGCAACAATCCTCCACCTCCTCCACAAAYAAATGCTTGGGACAAACCAATAACTCATGTTCTACGAGCACAGTCACCTAATGTAAATAAGCCAGTTACTCCACAGTCTAACAACCGACCTAATAGGTATCATAGCATATTGATTATCATTATAGCTATTAATTTTTAATATGTCTAATATCTATCCATTATCTATATGAATCCATATTTCAATTATACATTTGTTAGTTATAATAATATAAAATTATTATTACAATATATTGTATTTTAGTAAACAGTCTCTATTTTTTTCTATTGTTTACTTGAATAAAAATTAATGGTAAAATATACATTGAATTTATTATATTACTGATAATCATGAATTTTTATCTTATTCCAGTTTAACTGAAATAAAAGAAATTCCTGGACAGACATCTCAAAGGTTACCTTCAAATAAAGAAAAATCTTCACCCAATGTTTGTATATTTATATATATATATATGTTCCAAGAATTTAATAATTATTTAACCCTCATTATTTATAATATTTGATTAAAGGTAATGGAAAATGGTATTCTTGATTCATCGCAACGAATGGAAACAATAATATTTGAAAATACTACGTATAAATCAAAACCTAGTGGAGAAGCCAAAAATAAATATAATTCCAATATCAAGCAGCGCAATGAAAAAGGTAATAAAAGATTATATTTGTAGAATTAAACCCATTTTTGATTAAATTATTTTTAGATACTTGTAATTTCAATGAAGATTCTCAAGAAACTTGCTTTAGAGCATTCAAATCTGATAGTAAAGACTCTAAATTAAATGATGCCGTACAGATGTCTATGACCTTTCAAGTATGTTATAAATTATAACAGTTATGTTTAAATATCTTTTACTAATATATCTTTTATTTTAGAATGATGAAAGTTCTGAGTTGAACCTTGGATTTGGCGATTTTGAGTCTGATTTTACTCAAAGTGGAGCTGGTCATTTATCTGCCGAAAACAARGATGTTATGGCAATGGCAGCCCATACCAGATCAATTCATACTGGCCCATCGTCATTAGCAGCGAGTGACTTAAAAACTATGATAGCTGGCACTAAAAAGGTATTTGCAAAATAAAAGTGGTTTTCTAATCAATGAACATTCATTTTTTTAAATCTAACAACACATTTACAATAGTGATTAAACTTTTACATAACTTGTTGGTTATGTTTTTTAAGGAAAGGACAATTTTACATTAGTTTTAATATCCATATTTTTTTTGACACAAAAGTTGTCAATCAGAGTATAATTTGTAAAATTTTTTTCAATTATAATAAATTACTTTAATTATTATTATGAATATAAAACTACATAATCAATTTGATTATAATCCCGTAACCTATATTTTTATCATTATAATTTGAAATCGAATATTTTTATTCAAAACACAATATTCAAACAAATATAATAAAATTTTTATAGGATATAATACTTTTAGATGTAAAATGATTGGTACGTTTGTTAATGATGCCGTTTAAGTTAAAAGATAWAAATAAAACAATATTACATATTTAAAAGAATATTTTTGAATTTAAAATTGTATAAAGCCTACTAAATAGTGAATACAATTAGTGTTAACTTTATTTAAACTTTTCACAATATGAACTGCTAACCATACAAGCAATCTTATTTTTTTAAATCTTTATATGTATTTGTTAATAAAAGTTTTATGATATTGTTTGTAAATACTGAGCTATATTAATTTAATTTTTTTCCCTATTTAATACAATATTTATTTTTTTTAATGTTGGTGAAGGTTTGGGATGATAAACCGGAATCTAATCCACAAATCCAGCAAAACATTGCTGATAGTGCTTTTAATACAGTTTATAGTACTGCAAGTAGTGGACATGATAAATCAGAGATTTCTGTTATCGATGAACAAAGAGTTCACAATCAGCAAGTGTACAGGTATGTACTTTGGTACGTGACACATTTTGTTGTAATTAACACGTAGGTTTACAATTTGTCCATAGCTGCTTTTTAATACATGTCACATGGTTTAAACCCCATAAATAAATGCGAAGTTATGTTATATTTGACCAATCATGTGATTATTATTATTATGTTTTAATTTTTTAGCTCTGCTCCTCAGTTACCAACTGTTGCTGGCTCTTACATTCCAGTGTCCATGGCTGCTGCTGGTCAACTCAAACAAGATCCAAATGCTGCTACCACAAACGTATGCAAGGTAAATACTTGGCTGTCAATGAGGTAATATGTCATTTATAACAATTTTATATTTCTCAAGGTTAAACCTCAACCGCAGGGTACATTGTCGCCCCCATTGAGTCAACAACAACAACAACAACAACAGCAGCACCAGCAGCAGCAACAACAGCAACAGCAGCAGCAGCAGCAACAACAACAACAGCAGCAATCATCAACTAGTACTCATGTTTTCAGCTCTACAACACCTCAACCACACACATCATCTACACCCCTTGCTAATGCTATACCAACCCAAGCAACACACATGAATTTACAAGTAATGAAAATAATTAAAAAATTAGCATTATATTACAGCACTTGTTTGTATATYATATTATTCTTCATTGCAAGATTTTTGTGAATATATTTTTATACTTACTATGAATTTTTTATATTCCAGATAATGATGGAAAATAGCGATGGACTACCTGATATGTATGGTCCACATATTGCCAAACAACAGCAAACACATTTAATATTGAATACCAATAATAAAACTGGTGTAGAAATGATGACGAAACAGTTTGTGTCTGCTGGCACTGGTCAATCTCCTTCATCAACTATTTTGTTTAATTCAGCTCAACAACATTACTCAACAACAACAATGCCACCACCATCACCTTCTGCCCCACAAGTTTATTCATTATTAGAACCTTCTCAAACAGTAAGTCAATTAAAAATAAAACAACTTTGAATTCAACAATAATTATTACAATTTAATATAAATAAAATCAATTTTATATCATAGGTTCATCTATAAATAAGGAATATAATTAATTTTTTCTCACGATTAAATCTTTTCTTAGGTAATAAGTGGTGCTGCACGGTCTCAGTATAATCAATTTGCATATGGTCTTCAATCTAATGGTTTGAACCAAAATATGAATCAATATAATCCATCAATGTTTATTCATGCTGGTTCACCAGCTGGTCAAGGTGGATCAGAAGTATTACAATCTTCTATATCTCCATTCAGAATGGGACCTGTATGTAAAAATTGAAAACTATTTTTGGGTATAATAAATTTAACTTATTATTATCTAATTGTTTAGGCTTATAACAATGGTCAGCAATTAAATACAAACATAAACCCAGTATTAATACCAAGCAGTACTAATTCTTCTTCCTCACAAGTAAAACAGTCCTCACAGCAAATTGGAACAATCGGAAACAAAAATACGTATAATGCTTCAACACCTCAACCTTCACCTGTAAAATAATTTAATTTTTTTTTATTTTGTTTTCCATTTTCCTTACATTATTTTATTTTTAGTTTTTGGTGCCATTTGATCCTATATTCAACCAACCATTCAATTCCATGAATAATACAAGAGCAACACCATTGCAAACTTCCTCGTCTCTATATTCTACTAATTCAGCAAGTAAGTTATAATTTATTATTCATTTTATAGTGATAATCACATTTTTATTTTACCAATTAGCAGGACCTACAAATCCTAGTTATATGCCATCTGCATTTCAACCACAAGTGGTTCCTGGCGCATCTGGTGGCAATACTTTTGGAATTCCAGCTGCCTTTGGTTCTCAAAATGCACCACCCCCAAACATGCAAAGTTATACGTCACAGGTAATTTTGGGATTTACCATAAACTCATACATAAAGATKTWGGTACTATAGCTTACATATACTGTATGTGTATCCCAATAGTGGSWCAAATTATTTTATTTATTTGTTTTACATATATTAAGACCAATTATTGGCTTTTTCAAAATAAAGGATAACAAGAATATGTATCATTACATAACACATGACATAATATATAAACTAGATAAATATTAAAGTAGTATATAAGAATGATATAACTGTAAAAAAAATATAAATAGTTAAATAACCATTAATTATCAATCATTACCCTGTACATATCTTTCAATTCTACTTGCAGGACATTGGAACTAGACTAATTAATCATAAATTCCTATGACTTAACAATTTTCAACTTATGTATTTTGTGCATGTGCAAAGGAACTTTATTATTTTTAAATGATAGTTCCATTTTGAATATCATTTTTGGATTGATAGATTTTTATAAAGACATTTGATGAATCAACTTGTGCAGTAAACTCAAAATTAACTTAATTAGAGCTATTACCAATTTAAAAATCTTATAAAATTTGAATATTTTTTTTAATTCGGTAGTATTTATTATTTTTTTCCAAATATCGTAATCTTATCAAAATTATTATTATTATTAAGTAATGAATTATTTTCTATTTGTAAATTAGTCTGTTTTTTTTATTTTTTTTTTCAATACTAGAATTTTGTTTCCTGAAAATATTTGTTTTTAAATTATGTTATTTCATAATGGTATTCTTGTAATTAAAACTTGTTGTGAATTTAAATTTAAAATAATGWTTTATATTATTGAAATTATTGACTTATAAAATTTATACCTAGTATCGACAAGTCCCATACATAAAGGGAAATATAGCTGGCGGAAATGGTACAAACGATCTTCAAAAGTCTGGAATCACAAATCAACAAGATTTAGGAAATCCAATGTATTCTTCTAACTTATTCAGACAGCAGCAGCAATACTTTGATAGTAAGTCTTCCATGTTTATTCCAAAGATGAATTATTTGTTAATGTTTATTAAATATWTTTTAGCTAATAAGGCATTGATGAATTCAAACCAACAAACTCATCAGGCTATGCAAGGAAAATATAGTAATTATCAAGTCTCTGCGACTCAAAGTAATCAGTTGGTAAGTGTATTTTTTAAATTTTCATTGAATAACACAATGTCTATTGAGAGTTTGTGGCTTATGTGTCTWAATTGTGGGTATTGAATATTATAGAGCAAATAAGACAGACAAGATATTTTACAGAATCCAATAAATTTTTATTCATAATTTTGTGTATTCTATTAGTATACATCTGTTTCTTATCTCAGCCCTTGATGCAGCAACCTAGAATGAACATGAACAGCAGCAATAATGGATCAATGGCTGGTAAAATTGCACCTCCATATCCAACTCCTATTCAAAGGCCTGTATCGAATTTCCAATATTTACAACGTATTCCACCTCCACACCAAAATATACGAATGCAACCTAATTGTGCACCAATACAACACTTAATGAACAAAAGTCAATCCTCTAATAACTATTATGTGTCTAATGGAGGTATGTAGTCTAACCCTTAATTTTAAAAGAAATTACCATGTACTATTTATATGACGTATTGTGTTATTTTCTAGGTTTGATTGTTGAACCACCCTTGCCTATACCCAATAAAATTGATAATGTTAATGCAAATATTGATTCAAAAGCCGAAGAAAAAATAGACAGTAGTTCAAAACCACAAAGCACAGAATGTATAGATGACAAACCTCTGGCGACTAATGAATAATGTTAAATCTTTGAGTGTAATACTTTATAAATATGCGTGTAGAGATTAAGTGTCATATAAGTATCATGAACTTGTTTATGTTATGTAAGACGCTAATTTATAATAGTCGTGTTCTTTAGGTATCAATTTATAATACAATATATATATATATATATGTTTAAAAAAAAATCCATAATAATAAAGTAACGTATAATAATATTTATGTCAGAAATCTATCCCAAACAGTGATTTGAAAGTTCTTGTACGCTTTTTATTTGTATTAAGCATGTTTTTTCTGTGTCAATTTTTTTTATCATTATTATTAAAATGTATGGATATTTATAGTAATTAACAACTAAATAATWAAAAATAAAAAAATGTGCTATTTGTAATATGTAGATGTTCAATTATATATTTGGGTTGATCATTTTCTTTTTATAATAGTACAAAATATAAACATGTATGTAATCGAAATGTTAATAGTATCGATTTATAAGAAAACATTTTAATCTGTCGGTTTCATATACATTATTATAATATAATAATCATCCAGTAAATGGACGAGAACAAAATGATTATTTTTTTTTTTAATTGTAATTGATAATAATAGAGTACTTGTGTTTGAAAATTATGCCGATATAAATGTATGCTTGTTATTATTAGAATGTTAACAATTTAAGATTACATTTTTTATTTATTCAATTTATTCAATTTAAATATTAGATTTTTTTTATAATTTTCATTTATAACTATTACTTTTAAGTCTTTGTTTACTTTATACATTTCCCCCCTCATCCACCCTTGAATAATAGATCTTTGATGATAGGTATTTTCAATTTTGTAAGAGAAAAATCATGCAGTTAAATCAGAAAGAACATACTAATCCTATAAAATATGTAATTTATGGAATGTTTTTCTTTTTTTTTCAAATGAAGTGTAAATCCGATTTTTAAAAATGTTTCGTAATAGAAATTAAAAAAATATATATATAAATAAAAAAAAGGAAGAAATAAAAAAATCTATTCCCAACATTTTTGGTTTTCTTTATTTGTTTGTAAATTGTTATACTATGTATCAAAAATGTGAATTGTCGCATTTTATATATGAGATTGTATGCAGATAATAGAACTTACATAAYATTGATAACATGCAACAATAGTAATATGCCCAGAAAATAGTTTCTTTTGAGCTGATGCCAAAAATCATATATATGTAGATACTATATAGATATTTATAGATAATATCTGCATAAATATGTTAAAAATATTAAAATTTAGAATTTTAGTATTTTTTTTTCAATGCTAGTAGTACTTATTTGGATACCATGTTGGTGAAATCAGAATTGACCCATCTTATTTTATTTTATATTTTATTGTATTATTAATATTTTATCTATTGCTAACTGTTACAGATAAGGGTATAGTTCCTAGTATGCGAGTAAATAGAAATATTGTAGTATATTATAAGCAGTACTATCTATTATTTATACTGTTATTTATAATCAATAATAATTCATATAAATATTATAATTAAACCAGGACAAATGATTTCAAACTAAAATTAACATACAATAACAATAACAGATATCATACCTCTGTACATGCATATTATTATAGAATAACCAATTTTGTGGAATGCACCATAAAATGTTAATAAATATTTACCACTCATAAAAAAATTACCACCTTTCAAGTATGGTAAGCTTGCCTTCTGGAAACCCCCAACAAATAAAAAAGACAGTTATTTACTCTAAAATTCCAATCCGTCTTTACTCTTTACCACACACTGTCCCACCAATGGGAAGTATACTTCGTGAAAATATTGTTATCAAAGCAAAGTATTTTATTTTACTTTTTGTTATATAATAGAAGGAATTAATTTTATTCAAAAACATTGTATTTATGTGTTTAACATATCTACATATCTACATCAAAATAACTAAAATTATTAGTCTGTTTAATTAACTAATTTCATCCAAGTTTGAAGAAGAAACATCCATAACAAAGAAAGTATAGCTTATTTATTTTTATGATTACTAGGAACTACTTATATAAGAAATCTGGTTTAAAAATATTTCAGTCTCTTGATACAGCGAAAATTATTTATCGACTATAATTGAATCAATACTAAAAAAATTTAATTTCGTGTGGCTATAAATAGCTCAAAAGTAGATTAAATATGTTTATCATAATTTTTACTATTTAGTTTGTAAAATTAKTTATTAACATTTCATGACAGAACTAAACGTGATCTGCCGAACGTAAAATTTTCCATATTACACACACTTGTAAGACGGAGATAACACATACAGCTGGTATCAACAATATTAGTTAAAGGTATCATTGTATCAATAATCTTAATTTTAGAACGAAGTGATGAATGTATTGATTTTACAATGATGTGATTTTTTTGTGTCTGTGTACAGCATAACTAGTCGAAATAATGGTTCAATTTCAAACTTTGGGGGTGGTTTTCGATGTAAAAGTGAATATCCTTGGTGCATTATAGAGGTCAAAAGTAAACATTTTCCAACAGTTTTCAAAAAAATTAAGAAAAACAAAAAAAAAAATGGGAATTTTTACGCAAAACCAGTTTTCGACCAAACCCATTTTTTTAGATGGTTGTAATTCAAAAACTAATCACTGTAAATACTTGAAATTTTCACCAAATGTTTAGACTTTTTTGAGTAATTTATAGACCACTGGAATTATCGGTTTTTTTGAGAATTTTTTTTTTGAAGTGTCGGTAAAAAAATTTGAGATGAACAAAAAACCTTGAAAATTTAATACAAGGTTATGAGTTGTACTTATTGTAGCTAAAAAAAAATAAAAATCGTTAGTCACAATTTTTTTTTATAAGCGTTTATAGTTTAAATTTTTACGAAAACGCGAAAATTTGCAAGTAATTTTAAAGTTGAAAAATCATAAAAATTTTTGTGTTTATAACTAAGGATTAAAAATACACTAAGTTTTCCATAAGTATTCCTTCAAGTAGCTATAGAGAAAACTCGAAGCATCATTATACGAAAAATTTTAGGTGCGTTTGAATTTTAAATTTTTACGAAATAGCGTAATGATAACGATTTATCCTAAAACGATTTTAAACATTAGTTATTATTCAAAAAGTATAAATCGTAGATACTTGAAAATTTTACCAGTTATTTAGATTGGCATTTTCTTTACATGATTTAATTTTCAAAATGTTTTGACTTTTTTCGAGGTATTTATAGACAACTGAAATTTTCAATTTTTCTATACAAAAAATTATAAGAATACATATAGGCACAATTTTTTTTTTATTAGCATTTGAAGTTCAAATATTGACAAAAATTCTTTAAGATCATGAATATTTGCAAATTATTTTGAAGTTGAAAAATCATAAAAAATGTTGTGTTCATAACTAAGGATTAAAAATACAACACTAAGTTTTCCATAAGTATTCCTTCAAGTAGCTATAGAGAAAACACGAAGCATCATTATACGAAAAATTTTAGGTGCGTTTGAATTTTAAATTTTTATGAAATCAGGTATATGTATATAATTGTATATCTATGATAATATATTATTAATATAAGGTATTATGAATTATGATAACTACATGCAATGTTTTTGGAAAAATTGATTAAACATGCCTTATGCAAAATGCGTCCTAATTGAAAAATAAAATATTTGTWTCAAAATAGAATATATGACAATATTTAAATATATCCTAGACTGCCAAATTATCTCCGTTCAAAATTGTTTTTCATATCCAATGATACCTGTTGCATTCAAATCTAACCTACCCTAGTCAGAGGTCCACCACACCACCTAAGGTACAGCAGAACGACATCCACTTACCCGCTTTTTTTTAGTACTATTATTTATATTTATAATGTATGTCTGAATAATTATTATCAGTTGCATAAATAAAAATGTTTTTCTAAAAACWGATTCTTATTAAATTTTCGCATTCGGAATTTTAAATTATATGATTTAGATAAATTTTTAATGATTTAGYTTGGGTTAATGGATTATGAGTGCTCTAAACATTATAATTTTTTAATATTTTAATATTTTTAACTAATAATAAGAAGCAGGTAAGCTACTTACTATTATAATAAAGTAGTTATAGTTTTCCAAACAAAAGCGGGAAAGTGGATGTCGCTCTGCTGTACAGTAGGTTACAAGTGGGTTACAGTCATGGATGGAATTAAATTTAAATCTAATGATATTATATCGATGTATACGCCATACGATTCTGAGCGAAGACGGTTTATCTGTCTAGGATATATTATAGATTATTAAAAATTTTCAAACCTTAGAATTAAAATACAATTTTTTTATGAATTTCTATCTAAGATAATTTGAACATTGCCGTAATTTTTACGTATTTAAACAAAATTTGAATTTTAAATGCTCATAAAATAAAATTGCGACAATCTATTTCTTTTATTTTTCAACTGCTATGGTAAAAATATATTGGGAGCTTTGTATTAAATTTTCAAATCTTAGATTTAAAAAGAAAAACTTTTATGAATTTCCATCAAAGATAATTTGAACATTGCCGTGATTTTTACGTATTAAGTCAATTTGAACTTCAAATGCTAATAAAAAAAAATTGTGCCTATGTATTTTTAATATTTTTTACTGCTATTGTAACAATATGTTAAGAGCCTTGTATTAAATTTTCAAGCTTTTCTAACCAGCAAATAAATAGGAAAAAAAACTAAAAAAGTTGAAAAATTTAAATATCAGTAAACAGCTCAAAACAAATCAAAATATTTTGAAAATTTTATAAAATATATAAATGCCTACATAAACATTCAGTGAAAATTTCAACTATCTGCGGTCATTTGTTTAAGAGTTACACCTCAATAAGAAAATCGATAAATGTGAAATCCAGTGAAAATCCAATATAATTGTAAAAATTTAAATTTCAAATGCTCATAAAAATTTAATTTGAATTTTCAGTGGACTTTTTATTTGTGATAAAGTTTGAAAAACTTGTAAGGAATCTTGTATTCAACTTTCAAATCTTATATTTTAAAAGAAAATTTTTTATGAATTAGTGAATTTTTGTGATTTTTACGTATTTTGTCAAAATTCACACTTTGAATGCTTATAAAAAAAAAAAATGTGACTATGAAATACTTTTATTTTTTAACTGCTATTGTAACAATATGTTAAGAGCCTTGTATTAAATTTTCAAGCTTTTCTGTCTAACAAATAAATTATTATCGATATTAATTTTAAAAAAACTAATAATGATCGAAAATTTGAAATGCCTATGAATAGTTCAACTTAAGTCGAAATTTTTTGAAAATTGCATGGTGGATAGAATATACTTATATAAACATTAGGTCATTAGGTGAAAATTTCATGTATCTATGGTCATTTGTTTTAAAGTTTAATCAAAAACCAAAATCGATTTTGTCGAAATCTGTGCGTAAAATTTCCCGTTTTTCCCTTAATTTTTTGTTTGTTTTTCTCGATTATTTAGTAAAGTATTAAGAATTTTTAACTTTTTACCCCCCAAAGTACCAACTAGATTCACTTTCTGATCGAACGAGGTACTGAAGTCACAAATTGAAGCACGTTTACTGCCCCAAAACGTGATGACAGACACACAAAAAAAAAACTACATCTCCCCCCATTAATTCTCTTTTGGGATAGCTTTGATGAGATATTTCTTTGATGTAAATAAAAATTAGTTTCCCATGCTTATAATTCAAAAATAATAAATATGATWATATTGTTATATTATTAAGAAAAATCTTTTCTTTAAATTCCGTTTCCTAACAAATTTGTCAAAAAAAAAAATTAAAACAGTTTAAATGACTTGTATTTTATTAAATTATACCATATAATTTTCCTTTTAGAGGGTTAATTTAGTATGTATGTAATGATAATGATAAATTGGTTACGCATTGTGTTTTATTATTTTCTTTATACTCGGCACTTGCATTGAATTTGACAGTTAAAATAAAGCTGCTAAAATATCATGTTGGCTTGCTTTACCAAGTTTTACATTGTATTGACATTAATGCCAGGGGTGTGTTTGTAGCATCACCAATACAAATTATCTCAACACTGTCAGATAACTTTCTTAATTCCTTTTTAATATGATTTTTAAATGTTTTTGTAATCAATTCTGCACAATGAATTTTAAATTTGGATATGATATATGTTTAGCACTTTAGCAGGACTATTAATAAAAATAGACTTGAAACTTAAACATTGAAACCAGATAACAATTCAGACCAAAAGTTACAGAGATTATGGTGAATAATTTATGTTTGTGAAACTGAAGGTAAAAAAATTTAAAGCTTATTACATAATTCTGTTAATCGAGTATATATTTAATTAATTACGTCATGCCAAACAATTTTTTTTTGTAAACAGCTGGTAACTTTTCAACAAATGAACATGGATTAACTTCAACTGCAACCAATTCTTCTCGATTTAAAAAGTCAAAAAACACCAAATGCTAAATCACAAAAATCAAAAAATTCCTCATTTAAATAAAATATAAATTTTAAAATAAAACATAAGCATAAATACGGTTAGGTTAGGTTAAGTGTGATAGTAACTACAAATCTATATCGAAATATTATTCTTTTAAATTTTAAATCATAAATGTGAAATTATAGTAAAATTGTGTTTATGATAATTAAGGTAAAACAAAGAAAWGTTTTTATACCTATATTTCGSTAAGTTTTTGTGTTCCAAACAATATTAAATCATTAGGTTTAGGAAATGAATATAACTATCATTGTATATTGTGTACTATAATATTAAATGAATAATCTCATCAAACAATCAGTGTAAAAAAATAATAAAGGGCTCTGCCGCAGTACATTTTTGTTATGAAATATTTTTTTTTCGATTACCACACCGTGTCCGTGATAAAACCTATACAATAGCTTAAAATTTGAAATGTGTATTTTAGTTTTTAGAAATGACTGGTTTAAAATATAAGTAATTGTACAAGTAATAGTTACTTCTAATATAACCATTTAGTTTTAAAAATATTTATTTTTTATACATACTTCATAATTTTGTATTATCTTAAGAGAAAATTTTATGGGTTTAGATTCTAATTTCTTAATTTTTTTCTGTAGGTCTTTTGAATYGTTCTAAAAATATAATAACAAAAGTTAAAAAAAATAGTTTAAATAATGTATGCATAACTTTATAATTACTTCATCTTTTGTCAAGACACAAATAGTATTATCATCTGTAAAAATAATGGAATCATTTCTTGAAGCATCAAATGTAATACAGTTAATTGGAAATGATCTATTTATTAACTCTTTAGGCGGGTTTAAAAATAATTGTTCTGAAAAGTCAGTGTATTCTCGTTTACTTAAATTATATTCAACAACCTGAAAAAATTAAATGACGTATAATCACATTTATATTATTTTGATGGCCAACTGTACAACTAATTACATTTCGATTTGCATAAGCTATTACAAGGTTTTCAGTCGTAGGATGAATCTTCATGCTTGTTGGAGAACAATGATATTTTGGTAGAGTACAATAATGCTAGAACCAAAAAATTAGCTTACTACAAATAATTAAGCTGGGTATTTTATTCTTACCTTTCCTTCACTAAACACAACAATATTGCTTTTTCTATCAGCTGCGACAACGTATTTACTCCATTTAGACACTTCCAATAAATGTATTAAATCTTTGAAATCTGTTAACGATAAGAAAATAAGTAATAAATATAATTATAATTTTAAGCGAGAAAATCTTGCTTACAGGGAGTAGTATCAATGCAATATTTAGTAGATAAATCAAACTTGTGAGACATCTCTAAACAAACCAAGGTATTTTCATGTTTTGTAGCAAACCATAAGTATTTGCTATCAGATGAAAATGCCAAGTGAGTAGAAACATCACACTCAACTGGTTGAATGCCTGTCTTTATAATCATTGGTTCACAGGTGACAGAATCCTAAGTAGTAACATAATAAAATATTAAATGGAACTTGAAACTGTTATTAATCTTAAAATAATATATGTGATTSACAAATACCACAATCAAACTGAATATTTTAAGTTTCTCTTCAGTTGAATAAACAACCCATGTGCCATCAGGTGAGATTGCTGAACATCGTACATAGTCATTTTTTGAATATTTGATGGTTAACAGTTTAGATAATTTGTTTTCATATTTATGTTTATCCCCCAAATACCAAACATCTAAATGACTCAGATGTAACATCAAAACATAGCGAGCTTCTGTTGCTAGAGATATAGTTGACTGAAACATAGATAATAATTTTATATTAATTTAAAGCAACACATATATTTAACTTSTTTAGTTAAAGAAAAATAATAACAGGCATCAATGGAGGGTATTTAACCATATGTTTTGGAGGATAGCTGCTCACTGATAAGTATCCATCAATACCTATAAAATAATAAAAATTATTCTTAATAAGGTGTAGTATAAAGATTAATATAAAATAATTACCTCCTGAAAATAATTTTCCTTTAAAATAAACTAATGACCGTACTTCTACTGTATGTGCCACTAGTTGTACACTTCTTACCCATTTGTTACATTCAACACTCATATCAGATTTCATAGATATTAGCTCATAACAAACAATAAGTGGATCAACACCTAAAAATAATAAATGTTATATCAATGAATTATAAATTAACACTATTTAATATTCTTAATAATTATAGGAACAGATAGGTAGCATACTGAGTAATAAATATGTAAATTATATTTGAGCATTTAATTAAACTTAATATTACATAACTATTACTTACATTAAATTTGATTGGTTATAAATAGTGTTTAAACTTTTGCAAATATTTAAGAACTTCTATTAATTTACTACAAAATAAAAATGAATATAGTGAAAAAAAACTATTTAGGTAGCCAATAGTATACTACTATGAAAGTTTGAACAGCTATGAGATGTTTTAATAATTTTTAAAAACAAATTTTTATTAAGTTATAGATTTTAAATCAAAAACAACAATTTTCACATGTTATTATCATTATAAAAACACAATTCATTTTCAGCATTTGAACAAGTAAATATATAAATTATATTTTTATGATATTAAGTAGTATAAGTGCAAACTATAAACTGCTCTTTAAATTATATAAATAAATACTAACCACTACAGTAAACTTTGGTTTGTGATTCATCTAAACATACTGTAAGTGCTTTTGATTTCAGTGCTTGGTAATTGGCTATGTTTGTGCCTTTATTTCCATCCCAAAAACATAATTTACCACTAAGACATAATATTAAGATCAAAAAACTGAAAAATAACATAATTTTATAAACCATTAAAAATTATTTTTACCGGGAATCAGCACTTATGATTGTGAAATCATTGGTGACTGCTATTGATGACACGATTGTCTCAGTTTGACCAGTTGGAAGTTTGTGTAGAGCATGACCACTTCTTCGGCTGTAAATACGTAAAGCATTTATGGAACCTGTGACCAGCCATTCACCACTTGAATCCCATGAAATACAATTTATCTTACCTATGAAATAATATTTTTTAACATAAAATAAACAAGTTATTTYAATATACAATTTTAATACCTTCTTGTTTGTCCATTAATCTATCATAAGTTAAACTGTCTGATGTTATTTCAAATATATTTATATAACCATCTTGAGTTCCAGCCTATATTAATACATTGATCAAAAAAAAAAAAAATTCAAGTTTTATTTAAAATGTTAACTTACGGCTAAACGTCCACTACTTTTATGGATTGCTATACACCAACATGATCCGGATGTTACAGTTTTGTTATACTGGAACACAAACATGATAAATRAAAAAATCTCAAGACAATAAATYATTAGTAAATTTGCGTTACTACCACCCACCAAAGGCGAAAGACTGTACAAGTCGTGTTCCGTAACAGTGCCATTTGCACTACAGCTGAACAACCTACCGTTGTACCATGCGAGACCCTCGACACTACTGTCACATATCAATACCCTATCGATGTGTGGCTTGTAGGAGACGTCCCATATTTCAATTGATGCATTAGACCTGTAGACCAAAATGATCAGAGATCAATTGGTGACGAAAAAACATAAATTGTCATATACCTACCTTCCTACCGCTACTTTTTGAGTGTCATTTTCGGCGACCATGCATTGGATCGACAATAGTTCAGGTGAAAAAAAATTCACCCTATGGACGTCCAACAAACCCATTACAATGATGGTTGCGACTGAATGAATCAAAATGAACGAATCTGTCGAATGACCGRATCGCGAATAATGYACTAAAAATATTCGGTTAAATCAAATATCGATCTTCAGTCTTTTGGCAGTTTTTAAATATATGTTCRTGGTTATTGGTTTTTWACATGGCTTAAGATAAACAGGTTACGAAACGCAGCTGTGATTATTGAGGCTCTAGTCTGTCAATTCTCGGATACCAGCGAGAATGATACCCAGCGCTCCATGCGGTATTATTTAGCTTTATTTATAATTTTCCATGATACTTTTTGATTTTGCCATGTATTTTAGTTTTAACTTACCCAGTAA